TTTTAATGTGTCGGTCATTCCCTCTATTCGTTAGTAAAAGATTAGACCAAGAGTTGGCGGTGGGTGATGATGACTAGCTACCTTCCCTCTAATCTTACACTACTAAATTAGTGGCGGCTAGCGCAGATAGCCCTCGCGTACCTTTGCGCGAAATTCATAACAAACAAACAAACAACAATACGTAGATGTATTTAAACACAATGCTATAAAACCAGTCTGAATAAAATAATTCTATATGTAATATTGAAATTACAATGCTCACACGAATAACATGACCAAAACTCAGTGACATCATGATACAACTTTTCAAGATGAAAACGCAAACACAAAAACAAATTTCTAGTTCCTACAGACGATTCCCCGTCGAATGTATTTTTGTTGTTAACCATAAAGCTACACAATTGGTCTATCTGTTCTCTGTCTACCGCGGGTATCGAAATCAGATTTCCATCGTCGTAAGTCCTCAGACTTACCGCTGAGCCACCTGCATTAAAAAACACCAACAATGCATTGGAAACTTGAAACATGCATTGAAAGTTGGAATGCGAATTACGTGTATAATAACTAAAATTTTGTCCGTATGCAATCCAATACACAGCTCAGAATGTTTGAAATAACTATTAGAACAATGGTAGCATTCGTACCTAACAATCATGAACAAGCAAAGTTTCTTTTATCAGGGAGAAATACTATCACCTGAAACTATATTTCTCAACATTAACCTAGTTTCAAAGTAACATTCCGCCACACTATCAGTATTGAAAATGTTGGTATTAAAGGGAACAGAGAACACAATACTTTCACGGTTTTCTCTTAAACACTGAACTTAAGAAAAAACAATATTCTATAAAAATCGTGTACAATACTCCTAAAATCTTAAGAGCCAAAATAAGTCCACTGTTGATTGTTCTTGGCTCTCACGACCCCTCCTCTTCTGAATATGTAATATAATCATTTGTAACCTAATGTTTATAAAAGAACAAATTCAAAAAAAAAAAAAACAAGTCAAATTACCTATTTATTTCACTCTTACTCTGTCGAAATTACTGAAACAAGTACTGGTAAGAATTACCTCGAAGATACAGTTTACATCTTTCAGTTCATGTTTCACTTGAATTAGATGAAGATATTTCATTAAAAGTTCCAACAACACGAAGCACCGATTTTTTTTAAGGGAACTGTTAAAAAAATGTGATACATAATGTCCAATATTTTCGACAAAACAGATTTAATAAGTATAAATTGTGTAATTAAAGAAATATACTCGAGATGATTATTAAAAAAGAAACGTCCGTCATTTAAGATGTAACCCTACCGCCATCTATCAGCAATATAGTGAAATAAAAAACTTTGAAACATCATACATGATAAATGATTTTGTAATGTTCAGATTACATAAACAATCTTAAATGGACTGGTTGTTTTTGAAACTATTTTCTAACTTAATCAATGAAATGAAAATCAATAAGAGCAATATATATGTGATATACCTAAGTAACAATACAAGTGTCAGATACATAAAGCTTCACATAACATCATTACACATTACAATTTCTTTTCAGGCACGTTGTGCTAATACACTAAGAGTAAAAAACACAAACCGACGATTTTTAGCACAATGAAAGGTAATCTCTTTATTGTTAGTTACAGTCGACTAGTTCCGGTAACACAACACTGGTGATGGTAACTGTCTTAACGAAACTAGCCGGCTACTAATAGAGTTTACCCTTCATTGTGCCAAAAAACGTCAGTTTTTGTGTCAGGAAAAAATATCAATAAAATCAGTCTAGTTTAAGTCATTATGAAATTTAGAACAGTTGCCTAAAATGTTCACATCTGTATAAAAGAAACGTTGTATTAACACTTAGTGATACTCACAGCACAATGATGGTTTTATAACACACAATTGCATTTTTCTTAATTTATTATTCATCATAAACGTTTATGGAAATCATATAACATATCAATCTGTCCAATTTTATTTTCTATACTGTGCTTTGAAACAAACAAACGCTGCAATAAACCCTGTTCCGATATTTAATCTTCAATATAACACAATTAATGTCCACTACAATCTACTCTAACGGGACGCAAACCATGAATTCCGAAGTCACAATACGGGACCGCTAACCATTAACTCACATCGGATCAATGCTCTGTAATATCAATACTTTTAAAGTAATGCCCCCAAAGCTTATTAAAATTCTCCACACCGAAACGCATCGGACATTTGAAATATACAGTTTTATTGCTTATTTGTGAACGCCGTTGTAAAAGGCGAAAACTCGAACATATCAAAAAGTGCAATTAAACGTAAAAAGTAATATTTTAGCGATCTAATAAGATCATGTTTTTAACTGAAGGTAATATTTTTAGCAATCTAATAAGATAATGTGTTTTTAAGCTAAATTATATCACCTAAAACACACATTTGTTTTTACTAAAAACCAAAAGTTTAGTAAAATATTGATGTATACAGTTGTATCTGAAGAATGAACGGAATGAGTGGCTTAACACATATTCTCGGTGCTAATGTATAAATAAATACTTAAGTTATATATTTATTTCGCTATACTTTAATAAGACATTATTCGAGGTTCAAGAAATTATTTTTATTATTGCCATTCTCAAAACTACAATATTTTCTATCTATTTAATAAATAAATACAAGCAAGACTACGATTTAAAAAAAAAGTTTCCACCACCATTATTTATCAAACATTTTTTACACAAAAATCGTTATCTAAAAAATATTAACAAATAATAAGCCACTGTATAATTTATCCATAGCAAATAAGTAATATTTAATGCCACAAAGAAATTTGCAAGAGGCGGTAAACGGAAACTTAGGCTTAGGAGTAACTTCAAAGTTGCCTTAAATTATAATTGGAAAATGTCAAACTTACGTTTCAACTTATTAGCGTGTATTTCACATTTTTTATTAAGTCTTAAATAAGATGTAAAACATACACCTAATTACAAGTGTAAAAGTCTAAATGTATATTAACATATACATATTTAATATAATTAATTACATACGAAACAACAACAATAAAAACTCACTGGAATGAAATCCAAAACGACTCGCTTGTTTTTTTATTTAGAGTGAAATTATACAGGGGATCATCGTTTCATCTCCATAATCAATAGCTTATTATTCAAAAGTTGCGAACCTAAATCTGAGACACACGTCCAAACAAACAAACAAAAAATTAAATTTCTTTTGCACTTTCTTAAAATTATTCTTTAATATCTTACCTAGCTTTTCTTCAGTGGATTCCATTTTTTCCCAGCGGCTTGGCACATGAACCTGCATTAAAGTCCCAAAAATTGGTTTAAAATTATCAACCCAAAACTCACAAGTACACGTCTTACTTTAACGCCTAAAAACTAACAAACACTTATAGTACTCTGAGAAATTAACTATTAATAGTAGTGAAGGAACACTTAGGCCTAAAGTTTGTCGAAAAACAGTAACATTCGCTTGCTAAAAATTTTTATTTCTTAAAAACTAACGAATTTTCGGCATCAATAGTCTAGAAGAAGAGATGACAAAACCTGGTGAAGAGAGGTTTAGTCAGACACGATATAAAAACTCCTGAATTATCTTAGTTTATTACTAGAATCATACAATATAGAAAGCCAAATTAATTTAAACACTAAATTATTGGCGCTCAGCGTAAGAATGAAATGATTATAGATATTCTGCTTTCACTGATGAAAAGTAGATAAGTCACAAAAGAAATCTGTTAACTCTGGCGCTTTCAAAGGGTAGATCTTTAAAATGAGCTACAGTTATCAGGTTTCTTCTTTTGCTATTTTAAAAACTTCTGGAAGCGCTATCGTTATGAAGTTCAGTTTGGTGATTTAAATATTTTTTTGAAAGCGCTAGGGCCACCGAGATTTCTTGTTTCGTGATTTTAAAACCTTCTAGAAGCGCTAGGGTTGGAGAGTTTTGTGACTTAAAAAATACAAACTAATAATAATATTCACAGAAAAACAAAGTCTTAACCAGTGGAGTGGGATGAACTCAAAGACGTATCAGCCCCTCGCGTTTTTTTGAAATCATAAGTCCTTGTATTACATTTCTGTGATGGATATCAGTTTCCGTTTTATCCAGTAACTTTCACATATTATGAACGAATCAACCATGGTTTTTAAGGCGTGGTTTGTCTTGTGTAAGATGATGGATACTGTAAAAGTGCTGAAAGATCTTTCGTTTTGTTTTTTCAAACAAAAATTTTAGCTAGTGAATGTTACTGTTTTTTTTTTTAATAAGCTAATCGTATACCAAAATTCATCAATGTATATTTAAATAACTAATGAATTGTGGTACACCGATATAATTTTCTGACAAAAGTAATGTGAAATACTTATATAAAAAAAAAGTACACATGCTTTTAGGGTTAGCAGAAAAAACATGAGAGAAAATGCAGAGGGTAGAGATTTTTCAGAAAATTAACAAATACACGGCAAGCCTCAGGGCATTAACTTCTTCATTAAACTTTATTAACCTACAATACGACAAATGAGTATTCAAAGAAAAATACAGTAAATTCAAAATATAAACATACAATGAAGAATTTAATGGCCAGAGAAATGTCAAGTATTTGTATTATTCTTCATGTCCCTAAAATTATTCAACACTTATGTGTTTAGAAAACATAACAATATTATGTTATGATTTCATTTATGACTTTTCCTAGTATTGTAACAGTGGCATTTTAAGACCCTGAAGAGTCAATTTTTATATTTCAAATTGCAGATTTTTTGGAACAACTGGGGCAGACACATTCTGAATATTACTCCAGCGCCAATAATGACTAAAATACAAATAATATGTACACTTACCTCCTTCTCACCTGTTTCTTAATGAGATGAACTGTTCTTAATAAATTATTTTAGCAAGACAGATGTGGAGTTCAAACGGGATTTCATATCGAAAGCAGTAACTTCAGAAACAGTGGATTAATAAACTAAGGTGTTATTGTCTAAGGACTTCTTGTCAATGTTTAGAAAGATTTTGAAAATGTCCAGCACTTAAAAATTAGTTTGTGATGATCATCTGATCCAATACTCACAAATAAGGGTATGTGATAGGTGTCTACATAATCATATCTTTATTTCCTTTATATTATCAAGTATAAAAATAATTATTAGTGAATACTCAACATCCTTCAACAAGTATTAATTTTAGGTGTGCATATTTGAAAATGTACTCCTTATATTCTGTACTATTAACTAGTTATTTTTTCCTTTACCATAATCATAATAAAGGAAATACACTTAAACAAAACAAACTACTCAAATTATTTATTTTATTAGCCCCAACCTTTTTCTTTAATAAAGGTAGGCCTAGTAGCTCTGTATATATATATATATATATATTCTATAGTGTTTACAGATAAGTGGCAGAATCTTGTATTTTTAAACTGGAAAAAAAATTCAAGCTTGTTTTTTTGTGAATTTTTTTTTCAATTCTGTCATCAAATCTTATCTAGATGATTCACAAGGTAATGTAAATGAAATAACCTGATTAATTAAACAAGTGAAACGTCAATCAAATCAACAAAAATGAGCTAAGTAACAGCATGAAAAAAGGTTCTTGCAGCGACAATTGAGATTTTTAGTTTCTGCAACATTGGAATAGTCTAGTTAGGCCAATTGTACAGATGAACATTTGACAGAGTTAACTGTTCAGTAACTTACACTCTTAGTTTGATCTATACAGAATGGCATTGATTACAAAAAGCTACAACTGCTCATGTAAAAAAAAAAATGTGAAAGGTGAACTTGAAAATAAAAAAAATTAGACACATATATTATGATTTTTTTTCTTTACAGACTAGTCGGGTACATTATGAAAACTACCGTTAACTAGTTAACAAAAAACAGCTGAATTGTTACAACTATTCTTTCTTAGTACAAGAAAAGTAGGAAAATGTTTACCTAAGTTTACAAAATAAAAGGTAACCTATAAAAAAATTCATCAATGTTTCATGTTCAGGTATATAGTCTTGGTCATGAAGATCATATGAAATCACTTTTAATTGAGCTTTTCCAAGCTGCTTGAACTTTGTTTTAAATATTTTTTTACTCATCAAACACTGTACTTGTATTTCATCATCAGTATAAAACATGATGGCAGCTTCTAATTGTCAAAATACATGGAAAATAAATATATCAATGACCTTACAATGGTCAATAAAAACAACTGACAGACTGATGTCTCTGCATTGTATATTAAAACCTCAGATACAAATTACATTTAAGTTGAGATGGGAATATATTTTTATTTTCACAGAAAATGTATGTATATATGTCTATACATAAACCTCATAAGTATTAGTAGTTTTAAAACTAGTAAAAATATTCAAATGTAGGTAATGGAAGCATAACAAAAATGCACAGTGCTTGTAGCTTTTCAATTAATGAGCAACATATTTAACTGAACAGGATACTGATGGGTTAGTTTATATAGTCTTTACTGAATATTTTAAATTTGGAATACTGGAGTGCTCTTGAACATGTATTAAACCACATACAAGTGAGCCATATGTGTCATTAACAGCACTAAGGTCAACTTTATATATACATAAGCAATGCATAATCAACTTTCAAGCATGCTAATTTTTAACTTAAAAAAATGTAATTCTATTCTATAACCCCTTAAAACACAACCATAAAGCAGCCTGTTAAAATAACTTGATGTGTCTAATGGAGCCCTTACGTACTCACAATAACTGTAATTTAAAAGCTGCAAAACAAATTCAAAAATTACTCTAAAGCTACTGTATACTAAATGGTTGAGTTATATTGTTTTTACAGTAAGTTGTTTACAGTTATCTAGAAAAATTTATGAGCTGTAAAGCCTTATTTATGAGAAAGTTATTACTGGAAAATGTGTACTTAAAATGTAAACACTTTTGGAATTTTTTATTTTTTTTACTCAAATCATCATTTATTCTTTTGTTCCTTAACTTTATTAGATGGCCTGTCTTTAAACATCTTTCAGGTATTTTGTGAGCTTATTAGAATCAACTGCAAGGTGCTTCTATCTGGAGCTGATAGTTGTGGTTAAAACATGCATGTCTTTGTAATAAAAGATGAGCTTAACTTTAACAAAATGTCATCAACTAATCTAAGGCAATTATATTCAATGCTTTCTGTTTATTGCATAAAACAATACATACAAAATTCCTGCTGAGAAAAGCCATATACAAACCTGAATTTAATTATAACTATTAACCACAAATTGCATCCTCAGTTACAAAAGATCATAATACCACATGGTGCTGTTAAATGGCCATTAAATACTGTCTATGATTGGCACTCACTGAAGCTGGTGTCTCTTATTTATTTATTGAGAATACATCTCACTATCTGTAGCTGCATTTGAATTTGGTTGTCTGAGAAGAAAGCAGCTGGACTATCAAAAGAAAACATGCATCAATAATACATGAAGTCTTCCAAGATAATTAAAAACTTCCAGATTCAACCCTAGAAGTTTGCAAGTTCCTCAGCAGGATATCAAATTATTCAAGGTGAAGAAATAATGGCTTTAATTCCATGCTTTCAAAATTGTAAGACCTTTAGTCTTAGCAATTATTTGCAGAATTTTAAAAATGAGCTGAATATACAAGTGATCAAGGCTCACACTTTATTCTCCAATAGTATTCTGAACATACAACAGATACACAATACAAAATAAGCTCCTTAGTGTGTGCAGTAGGAATAAGCAAGTCACTAAAAGCTGTGTTACATACACTGAGGAAAAAAATGTTGAATTTACAGTGGGTGCCTACCAATTAGCCAAAGTTTATGGCTTTCAAAAATTGCCATCTGTTCAATAAATAAATACTTCTTAAAATATAATTTTAATTTATACTCTGATGTTTTTCAGACTTTAAAACTCTTACAAGGATAATGCTTCTGTGTATCATACCATTCAATGTAACCTTGTTAAATGATAGTTTGATAAACATTTTATAATATACAAGATAAAGAAATATTTAGTTTAGTTTAGAATGTATGAATTGAATGTTCACAGGCATAAAGTAAGCATGTTACTTTTTAAACATATTTTTTCATGCTTATTATGTATTTAAAGTATGACCTATGTGTTTAGTACTTTATCTTTTTCCCACACAAGTGATAAATATTAATATTTAAATTTTTAGCCTCTTTTTAATACTTGTAGCTAATATATTAATATATGAAATGCATCAGATCAAGATAATTAAACATTTCACATGTACAGCAACTTAAAATTTGATACAGTTGTATGATTCTTTGATATCTTGAAAATGATACACATTAAAAAGAAGTTTACTGTAAATAATATGTTCCAAAGCTTTAGGTGAACCATTCAAGCAAGCTTTTTTAAGACCTGTGATTGACTCTAAGGCATCCGGTCATGGTTTGCATTAATACCAATGACTCTTAATGAAAAGATACATAACTCAAAATGAACAATAAACAAAAGATGCCAATCAAAACTAACATGAAAGCCTTTCTAAGTTGGATTGACTTACTAACAAAATAAACTATTAAACGGTTGAAAACTCCACTTTATAAGCATAACAACTAGACAGAGCCAGAATGTTTTCCATTTGTTTATTTCATTACATGAGAGCAGAATTAAATACTATAATTTACATTTTGTGATGATCAGAAAAATGGCTGTAAAATTTTACTTCATTAATTTTCATTAAATAATGTAATATTAAATTACTCAAAATAATGGTAAGAAAACTAATAAACAAGTTTGACTATTTAAAAATATTATTTTAAAAGACCTAAAAATATCAATTTTACATTAAATGTAACATGTGTTAATAATCTTTCTGCAGAAAATCTCGCATTTTCTTTTGCATGACCTATACATTTCACATAGAAGTCTGTAAAATTACTTACAGGTAAGTCTTCCTCCTCATCATCATCATCATCACTTCTTTGCTTGTTCTCATTTTTAGTATTCTCTTCTTCTGGTACAAAGTCTTCCATTTCAACCTATAAAAACAAGTTAAGGTTATTTATATGTTATTCCTTAATTAAATACAGAACTTACAATATTTTTAAGCTACATCTTGAAATATATATGGAATATCCTTTGATACTGCTTTGCTAAAGTTAATAATTTATGATAATGGTTAGGAAAATAAAGAGGATACCTCCATGATATACCCTGCAAGAAGAACCAGGATATTTGTACGATCGAGCGTAAATAGACACATGGCTAGAACATTTCTATGATACTATCAACATAGTCAGGATATCTCAATGAAACTGCTTGAAAATATGGTAAGTTATTTCTACGATGCGATGTAAAAATGCTTGGGGATTTTCATGTTAAATGGACAAGATTCATGTTTTTTAAAAGTTTACTGCAATAACAATTAGACAGATATGCATGGCTTGTGAAGCTGATTCTGATAATTCTAAGCTTAATTGCCCCAAAACACCCGGTCAATGACGCTAATCACAAAGTTATACTATCTAGACAATAATACATGGTTTACGAAGCTCATTGACAAGAGCTTAGTCGACAAAGATGCCTTTCTATAAAAAATTCATCAGAATTTTACTAACCTGAGTAAATCTTCATACGATTTGTTCTAAATAATAAAAATCACAGAAAATGCAGTATCTGAACATACCTCAGTAATAGCAGCATCTTGAAGCAATGATCGGATGTCAACAAGAATGTAGTTGGTAGGTGTAGATTCCCAGTGGCTAACCATCTATTGTGACAACCATGACATATTTATTAAAATCCAATGTATAGCATACAAAGTTACAGAAACATTTTAAGCTTTCTAATTCGAACCTTACGAAACCTTTTAAATACAAAGATTGAAACACTGTATATGAACAAAATACGATCTATACAGAGCATGTTACTTTTGTGTAGATTGTATAAACATACCTTTTGAATATCTTCTTGAGACCGTTTGTGAATGTTTCTTTTGTGGCATATGCTAGGATCCATACACTCCATCTCTGCTACATACACCTGTATATATATATTAATATATATTAATTTCAAACCAATGCATTAAATAAATGGTGTATAATCACAACCAGTGTGCTAAAAATAATTGCAAGGTCATAAATAGAAAAGAATTTACGAATTAATTCCAAACCAATGTGTTATATAAATGTTATATATTAACACAACCAGTGAGCTACAAATAGTTGTGGGTCAGAACCAGAAAATGATTTAAAAAAAATTTTTTTTTAAGATAATTATTTCATGATCTTTAAGCAGTTAGACCAGGGTGTTATAAATATAATTATCATTATTCACAATTTGGATGTTTTATATGACTGATTTTTATACAAAGATCTCCACCCCTTATACAGTCTATTTAACATTTACAACAAACACAGTTTTGCATTGTTTTTCGTGTATAGCAGCTAACAAAATTTTGAGCATTATGATAAAACACAATTATCTTATTTCTCCTATCATCTACAGAAATATGAATATTTTGATTTTTTATTACAAAAACAGCCATATTTTTTCAAATCCAACTTTTATTACTATTTGTAAAACTATATACCTGAAAGCCTTTCTGTTTAGCATAGGTCCAATAATTTTCAAACTGCTTTACCCTACTGTTAACAGCATCCACTATGATGACAGGGAAAAATCTATCATCTACTGTTTTTTTGAAAGATTTAAGTAAACTTAAACTATATGCTTCTTCCATTTCTGGCTCATAGTCATATTCAAATTCCTGTCAAAAATAAAGAATTGTTTTAAATACAAAAAAAGCAGAGTAAAAATGATAAATACATATTTAATCTAATAACCAGCTTTTGACAATCACTGACCTGATTGACAATAAAGAACTTTTAAAAACTGAGAAAGTTCTAAAAACAGTATTAATTAAAATCAAATGATGATACAGAATTCAGAGGATAAGATCATTCCAGGTTTGACTATTATTTAAGTTTGTATTTACTCTCTCCTACATTCAATAAACATGTAACTTAAAAATATTTATTGAATGATTATGAACAAATTTTGAAAGAGCCTTCATAAAGCTTCTTTAGATCAATAATCTCCTGAAATACTTCTAAAAAAATATATCCTACCAATTACCAACAGCTAAGCATGTGAATAAATTGATCAAAATTAACTTTGACGTCTTTTTCTATTTATTTAGTTTTGTAAAACTTTTCTGTGAATGCTCAGTCATTCTATATTAGATTTTATACAACATCAACAGAAAAACAACAAAATATTGTAACTTATAGTCTGTATATACACACTTCATATTCACATCAGGATAGAAATATTTGGCTTAGTAATTTAAAAATTAGCCTCAAATATCTAGGAATAAAAAGTACAACATAAAAGAAGCACCGACTCGTCTTCAGATATAAATAAGACTGTAAAACTAAAAGTGTGGTACCACATTCACAAGGTGTCCATAACTAATTAAGTCTTGACTCACACTCCAAAAGTACTAATTAGGCTGAATGATTTAAGATTTTAAGCTTTTTGTCTACACAGCAGAGGAGAACTGCTATGAGACAGAGGTAATAGTATATACTAGCCACAACCTGCAAAACATTTGCAGTAATTTTCATGATCTTCGCTTGAATTTTCCTTATTCTATCATTTTCACACATGCCGTTTAAGCTACACTTTCTTGCAAGCATTATGTGTTAGGCTGATAAATCCTGATATATTTGAAAAAAACTTTAAGTACTCAAAAAAAAACTCATATAGCCGTGTTTATAGCAGTGTATGAAATGAACCTAAATAAATTATTGCAAAGTAAAGTAAATGTAAAGTTGTAATGAAATCAAACTTGACTAAATATATGCAGAAACGTCAGAAAGCGATAAGTATATGGTTTTTAATGAACTGCGCATGCATATTTTAGACCTAAATAAGTCCAGAAAGCCCACAGAAATTGTACTTAGTGTAATGATTTTTTTTAAAGAAATTACATGTGGTTAAGTGCTGTTGGTAAGAAATACTTTGCAAATAAAAAAAGTGAAGTGAAATCAAAGCCAGGCATTACGTGATGACAACGATATTGTGTCGTTGTACTATACTCATTGCATTAAAAAGTTTGAATAAGCAAAAAACAGGTAAGGTGGTTCTGAATTGAAAAGTCCTAATGCAATCCTGACTCCTCAGACAAAAACCTTTCTTATGATACGAGTTTGTAGCGTTTGACTGAGAAATTTGCGGGAAAAATTCCGGACACACAAATGCAAGCATATCATTTCTTTATTTATGTTGGAAAGTCAGTACACACTCTTCTTTAGGTACTTATCTAAATGTTTGTTCACAAAAGTTAATATATAGTAATATCTACATTAAACTGAAACACTCGTATAATATTACACAATGTAATATTAACTTACAATAAAAACAAATTTCTAAATCCTCTTTTAATTAATTTGTATCTTATTTTTTTCCACTCTTCTAATAATTTTTTTTAACACCAACCTTTTTTCTAATACGCTTTCCAGTATCTGGATCTTTGACAAGCTTCTCCGTTTCGACCATAAAATAGTCATCTAGACAAAGAATCCTTGGGGCTGAGCCCCCATTCTCAATCTCTTTATCCTAAAGACCAGAAGGAAGCAATCAATTATTGTTGTTTTCTTTTATTTTGAAACAAAATGTTTTAAAGACAATGTTATTAATTAATATTCCAGAAAAAACGTTCAAACAGAACACTTCATTTTTTAACAGCAGTATAACTGCAGTGACAGAGATGATTATCCAAGTTACAAGTGTTTTCCTACAGTAATCTTTACAAAACAAGAGAAGACAGAATGAGTACAATCTGAGAAGCAAAACATTTTGTTATTTTAGCTAGCAGTAATTTTTTTTATTTTCATAAATAAACAACATGTTGTGTCTCTTTACACATCTAGCAATACCTGTTTCATACAGTAAGAACATCACATGCCATACCAGCAAGCACAATTAGTAGCAAGTATAACTAAGCCGATAACTATTGTTATAAGGTTTCAAGTACTAAAAGAATTCCACGTGTGGACACATTTTTTCTGTTAATACGTATGATGAAATTATAAACCACACTGTTACCTTACATTATGAAGCACATCAAAGTTCCATTGCCCTTAAGTTTAAAACCAAAAATTTTTTTGATTTTGAAAAGTATTTTCTAACAGATAAAAATATTAATTAAGTAAAGAGAAATGTAAAACTGATCCAAAATAACATTTTCTCAATATACTTTTAAAATTTAAATACATTAAGTTCTTTTTTTCTACAACTGGAAATACGTCTGAAACATAAGCACAATCAGAATGATTAAACAATAAATAAGAAAAATAATGCATCAAATTAATACCTAAGGGCCTACTGGTTTTGGCTTTAAATATTTAATGCAATACACAATAATAATAACAAATTATATTTTAACTCAACTAAGAATTTTTCAACCTGAACATCACCTTATGTGCACATGGACTAAAATGATCAGGCCAGGGACCTCTTTTAGGTGTAAAGATCTTTGATTGTGAACTACTGACCAAAAGGAAGGTAACCAGTCAGCAGCACCTGCAGCCATAATAGCTTTGTCTAGCTCTCTGACCCGATTAATCGAACTGACTCTCACTTTCATAATGCACCCACCTGTGAAATTGTAGGGCATATTTCAGTGGCATTATGTCTTACACCCTAGATCCTTTGATCCTGGACCCAATATGCTAATCACTTGGCCATACCTAGCCCTAAAACTCAACTGGGTTTATAGCAATAGACACAACTTAAAGCAACATACATTTAAAGTCCAACAGTCTCACGTAAGTTTAAACCTATATTCATGAGTAGGTGTCCAATGTACATGCCACAATCTTTTACAAAATACTATTCACATTGGTGTTATGTATTTGATGTCAGAGTTACCAACTGTTCTTTTTACCCTACACGGCCAAGTTACTGACAGTTTATGGAAGAGGAATGAATACCAGATAAAATATACAGAAATATTGAAAAAACTGAAGTTAAGAATTTCAAAGGTTCTAAAGATTATGCAAATGCAATCTGTATGATGGGCAAAAGCATTTTTATTCTTCACTTGTCAGAATCTGAGTAAGGCTGATGTCAAGTCATAGACTCATCTTGTATGAAAATATTTTTGTAATACATCTGATTGTTTGTGTACAATAGACTATATTTTACTAAAAGCTCGTCACATTCAAAACAAGTAGACACAGTAAATTCAAAATTATAGTCAACATTTCTTCTTCAATACAGACATTCAGTTAATGAATGAGATTATAATTTTAAACTCTAATATTAAAATTGTAAGTACCTATGCCTATGATAAATAACAGGCTTACCTGGAAACCTACTAGGCATAATGTTGATTTTATAATGAGGTCTAGCCTAATTGAAACTTGGATCTAAAAATTAAGATACAGCTAAAACTTTTAACCTCAGTAATCAAAAGTGTTATACAGAATACAAGTTTGTTTTCATTGTGCAAGAAGTCACGGTATTCACTTTGAACATGCAACCTGCAGTATCACTACCTCTTCTGCATCAGCTTTTAATACAAGCCTAAAATGAAACAGATGTAAAGTGTTCTCATTTTAAGGAAGTCAATAACTTTTTACCAAAAATGTATTTTTTTATTTAAAATATAACAATTTTGTAGTGTAACAGTAATTATTTTTCATTTGCTACCAATTTTTCTTGGTTATTAAAACCAATCATAAATATTCAAGCAACCAGTACAGATATAACAAAATCTACTGGGTAAGGTGATACTATCGTAAGACACGTGGTAAACGAAGCAAGAAACTGTCTAGCTACAACTGTAAACAGCATTTATTAATACTTCACTTTAGATATCTCATTAAAATATGAACTTAAAACACATTTTGAACATTTAAGGTGTGTTTTTCAACAACACCAATGAATGTTTCTTATGTAATTTAACTTGTCCTATTATTTGCAAAAGTTGGAACATGGGAATATAACTGAGAAAACAATATTTTAATACTTCTAATGAATGACTCGTTAAAACTGATGTCTAGATAAACTGAAGTAGCACACTTCATACCTGTACAATTCTTATTACCTTAAATTATGTTACAAATTCAAATTTACTAATTTTCTTTTAGAGTTGAGTTCAGGCAAGCAAGAGTGAACTAGTATCTTGCTATCAATAGTTAATTTCTTGTGCCAATACAAATTGGTTTGTGTATAATTCAATATAAATACAAAATTTTTTCAGAGTTTGTTGTTAAGCAAAAAGCTACACAATGAGCCATCTGTGCTCTGTCCACCATGTGTATCGAAACCAGATTTGTAGTGTCATAAGCTCACAGACTTACCACTGTGCTACTAGGTGGCAATTTTGTTTTTTTTTGAGAGAGAGAAAAAGGTGTTAAAATACCAAACTAGAAACCTGTATATGAACATTCAGCTATTATAAGATGTACAAGTAAATAAAAATCTACTAATAAACAACAAATGAAGCACCCAATGAGACAAGTTTTATAATAACAGTATTTAGTGAAAAATAATCAGGTCTCAAGTTGCTTTATTTCCTTTGTTCATTAATAATGATCATGATATAAGTATTATTATTTTACTGAATCACATTTAAATAAAAAAAATTACATTTTAAAGCAATTGTGCTGCTAATTATTTAAATTTACCTTAATTAACTTAGCTACATAGGTTTTTCCAGAGCCTGGGGGTCCTCTAAGAATAATCACTATGTGTTTTGGTCTCTGAAGTCTACCAGGTGGGCTTAGTAAATCTTCTATCCTTACAGTCTCTGTTTTCTTCTCCACAGGAGGAGTTGTTTTAGAAATGAGGTTTTCGTCAAATTTGACACTTTCTGGTCCATACGCAGGAAATGTAAAATTTTCTTTAACTCTATAGAAAAAATACACAAAACATTTTTTTTTAAACACATATTTCTTTTCATTTTTCAGGGATAAACTTTAATGATCAATAACATGTTCTAGGACAAAAGATCTCCCCCATAGCCAATAGATCTTTCACAAATAAGTTGTATACATAACATTAAACACAGTACCTCACAGCACTTACAACTATTAGTTCATTTACAATGAGCATACTCTGATAACTGAAAAACAAAATAAAAACATATGTATATATATATTTCAATAATACCAGCTCTTCACTTTGTGGAACAAAATTTGTATCTATAACTACTTTACTGTAATGTCCACTAGTGACCTCTGACCATCAGAGGCAGATAAAGCCTTGAAACAAAATGGTGCATTAGCACACCTTCAATTGTTTTTCTTGAGATCTCACCCAGATTTTTTTTTACAACGTAAAAAGACTTTTTCTGTACCACAACTGGTTAAATAAATCCTATTTCCATAAAGCATTTGTACCTTTTATTGTTGGGTAAAGAAAATAATGGGGATTAAAACTCGTAAATTTGTTGTTTTAATTGTATTCTGATGAAATGTATTAATTCAACAAAACAAATATATCATTATTATTCTATATTTAACCTACAATATTTCCCAGATTTCAGCTTACGCAGTACAGTTAAGTCTCATAATCAAATGCTTTAATCACTTCAGCCTAGTTCAAGGACAAAATTAAAATGCTACCAGTATCGTTACCACAGCTTGAAGTCACTCTCTAATCATCGACACATTAAAACGAAGAAGTCATATATGGCTGGCCAGATGTAGTTTCATGAACTTACACACATGAGTTAATGGGAATGTAGATGATTGGAAAGAAGGATATTCAAAGAATCTTGGTGTTTAAGGGCAGCTAATACTTCATCAATTCTGCTTGACAATACAGTTCACAAATACTGTAAAAGGATTTACAATAAAGTCCTGCTCCGAATATTTTCTTTGTATCAAAGATTAGTTATGATATCATACTTAGAGCTTGCATGATTTTATGTCCACCTTGTGTATCTTAAACAAAGAATAAGATTATTCTTCATTTAAAAAAAGACTTGGAAATTGAATTTAAATTACAAACATTCTAAACATAAGTCATATTTAGAGCTGTGCAATTAGTGGAATATGCTAATTGATTGTCAGGATCATTAATGATTACATTAAACTAACAGATTATTCTCATAAGATGGCAAAAAAAACAAAAAACATACGACGCTAATAATCAGAAACATTAGTTTTGACTAGTTGATTATTTTCATGACAATCAATTTAATCATGATTTCACTTAATCAATTATTTCATGTGATACTAATCAAAGTACTCACTCCACAGACAGCTGTACTGTAAGCATCTATGATCTGATTTTAGTAGTAGGAACTACAAATAACAGAATATGTGAAAGGGGCCAACAAAAGTAAGTTCAGTAACTAATACGCTTAGTGTTCCTTTGTATAAACAGCATGTGAGCAAACAATATCCATCCACACGTTCAACTTAATAAGTAACAACAATAAATGTTAATAGTACAATTCTCATAATACTAATTCCTGAATTTAAAATTTTACCTACTCCTTCATAATCGTTTTTGTACATAAAGCTATACAATTGATCCAAATTAGTTTCCTTAAGCAGTTAAAAACCCAGCCAGCAATAACACACACACATACAACAACTATTTTTATGATATCTATATGCTATTTGTTAATTACAGACATCACAAGGGAAGAAACTTATTTCACAATTAAATAACTTGTTATGTATACAACTGAGACTGACTGTGGTTAAACATTTGGGAAATACAGGTAACAGAAATCACATGTTAACTGTTGATAAGTTTTAAAAAAGCACAATATCTCATTAAAACATGAGGTATGAATAAGAAGAAATATGGCTAAACAGTCAACATTGTTTATGACTGCATACAAAACCTTTAATAACTATCAATCAGGAAAAAAAAGGGATAGCTTAAAAAAAATTATACCATGTTCTTACTTTGATAATAGTGTATGTGTCAGCTTTGATTGAACCTAATTTACAGCACGTCAAACACTAACGAGAAATGTTTTCATTATTTTTAAGCTTATAAGTTTGAAATAGCTACAAGTTAAAATTCTTATAAATATGAACAGAAACAATAAAAAAAGCAGCATGCTTATTTTTTTTTATCTTTACTCAGTGGCTACCAATTATGAGCTTAAACCTTAGCATTATAATTTTTTTGAACCTTCACTTTTTCAAATATTAACCTAGAAAAATATTTTTTCAACATAAAATTCAGTAGTTTTGTTAAATGAAATGAACTGATTATCTATTTCTGTATGTCTACAGCAAGTCGTCTATTAAGTCATGTTCTAGCAGTAAGGAAGTACAAACTGAGTAAACACATTGTATACAAAACTTAATTTTTTTAACCCTTCTCCCCTGAAAATACATTAACAGAAAACCATAAATTCTAAGCTGCACTCTATAACATATGTTATTCTACGTACCATTACCCAAAGTTAAAGATTAAGTATGAGACAACAAATATCTTGAAAAGACCATAAAGTAAGTTTTAAAAAATAGAAAGAAAAGATACAGGTAGGGCAAATAAATTTACAATGCACTAGAGCTGACTTTAATAAAGAAAAGTTGACATTATAATAAATATACTTCACAAGACTTGTATGTCAATCATTCAACTTTGAAAGTTCAAGTTAATGAATGTATTCTAAGTTTGGCTCATTACACAAAAGGTGTAAATTGCAATAAACAAATGACTTAAGAACTTCAGCAAGATTAAAAAACTGCATAGAAAATCAAAGTTTTATAAATACAAATTACAACGTATAGTAGTAAACAAAAACTGATTTAGAAAAGTGGAAACATGTGAAGCACACATCTTTTTACAGAAACACCCATGACAAATCACTCTTTTGACATTAATATTATATATTGACTCTAAGAGCTTTAATTATTCATTAGTCCAAGAAAAAGTTCATTGCGTTGCTTGAAGTACCTGTTATTATGAAGTCCTTGAAAGTTAAAAATTAATTGTAAACTGTAAATCATAAGCTACATTACCTCTTACTAGATTGAACAGATTTCTCAAGTTCCAAAACAGTTGGCTTCTCTTCTTCTTGAACTTTGGTTGATGAATTCCAAGTTTTGATATTTGAATGTCCCCTGTTGTCATCTCTAAATACTGGTGTCAGAGATTGATGACTTATGTTTTTTATATCTAATCCAGGAATATTTTGTTCTGCAGATACCTGTGGCAACCTCGAGAATTCTCTATTGGCATTTAAATTTTTAAGTGGACTCCAATCTTTCTGTTGCATTCTCATTCCTGTAATGCAGAATTGGTAATACACCAAAGTAAGAAAAATATGTAGGAATGGTAACACACCTCTCAACCTATTCCTGTGGCAATCTTAGAGATTTTTCAAGAGGTTAAAATATTGATCAAACCTTATTACAGTTATTCAAAATAACTTATTCGTTATTCTAGATAGTATCTATTAGTATTCATATGCTTTTCATAAAGCTTACCTGCTCAAACTTGAGCACAACAACCATGCAAATAATTTTAAGTTGTTGCTTTATTCATACAAGTTTTCAAATTACATCACATACTGCTGTACTTAGATATCCTACATGTACAGGACTTACCTAGCTGTGAACCATGCAAAGTCCTTCCCTTAAAACTTAAGCAGTTATTCATAAAGATCAGGACTAATCAGGGTATGAATGTCTCTCTACATCTTCAGTGCATTAGAAAAATCTTTAACTTCTTTTTAATATGTTTGGTATGCTAGATATAAACAACTTTTTGAGTTATGGTAGTGGAATCCTAATAAGGGTGAGACGGAATTTGGTGTTTGTTGCATGGACTGGTCAATGTTCACATTATGCTGTAAAGTTCTGTTGGAAAACACCTGTTTTAGACTGTTTCTTTTGGTTGAATTTCATTTATACATGTGTTGCATGCAAATTTATTCCTTTTGTTACTGTAGTCCTTTCTATTGGTAAAATGTAACATGTAAAATTATAAAGCTCTCACAAATTTATACTTTAAGTATCCATTGTGTTGAAAGGTTGTCCTTGAAATTATGAAAGAAAATTATAAAATTTATGATTCATATATTCATCAAAAGAATAAATTCAAGGAATTTTCTTAAACTTATTCCAGCCAAATTTCAAGGACCTAAAAGTTATCATTTTCCTAATCTGAAAATGTATTTCCAAAGATACTTACTTCCGCTGACACTTATAGCTATTTCTCCATCTTCCGTCTGTTCTTTGTCATCTAAACATTGTGTTCGCTTGTTCCAGTCTTTTATATCCCACTCGACTGCCCTCGACAATATCTAATTTGCAAAACTTTACATTGGCCCTCATACTCCCTCTGAGCAGGTACTGTATATAAACACTGTATGCAGACAGTATAATCAAGTTTTTGAGACTTACCCCATCCCGGTCGCTAACACCGGCTCTTAGTGGGGAGGAATGGGGGGAGTGTCAATGGAGGTAAGTTGTGTTTGGAAATATATTTTCAGATTAGGAAAATGATAACTTCCAAAACATACATATCTCCACTGCCTCTGCACAGAACAAAGATGTACCACGAGAAGTGGTACTCAAGTGGGGAAAACCGCACTACATCCAGAACAGGTATGCTCTTTACCCAGAACTACTGAAAAGTGAAAATGGTGGAATAGTACACAAGTAAGTATGATGGGCCAGCCCCATCCACACAGCTGAGGTTCAAAGACTCGGGGTGGATTTAAGGGGTCATGGTACTCATATTCCATGTTGGTGGCCAGGGCAGTTGGACTGCAAATTTATACATATCTTTGTGATAAGATCCCCACCCGCAGCCACGGAACGATGCGTTTCTAACTTCCAGATTTATGAAAGAGAGAAAGCGACACTAAAGTAGACAATCCTTCTGATCAACCTGAAGAAGTCCAAAAGACAACATTCTAGGCTAGGATTTATGGGATTAAATATGCCACTCCACTTACCCATGAAATTGTGGAGAGGACATGGAACACTGTTCCACCAAGAGCCTAAGATGGGACCGCATCACGTTTTAATTTACGAGGAGATAGTGTATCCCCTGTATGAACAACCTAAGGCCCGACAGTGTTCATAAGAGGATCCAAGCACACCCCCACTGGATAGCTAAGCTTCAAATCTGGACCAGTTTTAGAAGTCGGATCCCACGTAAGTTGGTCCTGCTCCTACCGACATCTGAGAAAATTTCCAGAGACCCAGGTAGGAGGGTCCCCAACTTTTACCTCTTCTCTGAGAGTGGATAAAATGTAATGGGTGATAAATCCCAGGACACCGCAGGATCCCAATGAATAACAAGCTGGTTCCTAGGGTTCTGTATGAGCCACATAACATCTAAGTGCTCTGACTGGACACAACAAATGATCTGGGTCTGATTGACTGTAAAGATGAGAAATGCCCTGTAAATGAATAGGAAAAAAGGATTTATTCTCTACTCTGGCAATGAGTGCTTTCGGATAGAGCAAAACACGGTTGGAATGATAGAGAGTCCACTGAACATGGACTGCAAATAAATCAGAATGGCAGCATTCAGAAGCTAACAACAATACAAAATATACCTTGAGGGAAAGGTGATACAATGAACAGGAGGCCATAAATTCAAAGGGATGACATGATAATGCATGTAAAACAACTCTAAAGTCCCAATCAGGCAGTAGAAAAGGTCATTTGGTCGAAGAATATGAAAGGATCTTAAGAGATGAGATAACATATGAGAATCAAAAACCTTCCTATACTTATAATATCGAAAGGTAAGAGATAGGGTGCTTTATATAATGAAATGGTTGAAGAATCCAAACTTCTCTCAAAAATCCACATAAAAAATAGTGATACTATGGAGACTGTTGGATGAAGCGGATTGAAGGCTCTCTGAAGACACCAATGACGATATGTAGTCCATTTCCGTTGATAGATTGTCATAGTAGGTCGACAGAGGGACTTAGTCAAATAAATGGATATTTGAGAAGTTAAACCCCTATGTCGGCAAAGGAACGCATGACTTCAATGCATGAAGCTTGAGTCGTTGAATGTCCGGGTGTTGAATTTTGGATCAAGGTTGTTTCAACAAGGATAGGCAAAAAGGTAATGGTGGACATTCCTGGAGCAACTAAAGAAGAGGAAACCATATTTGAGCAGGCTAAAAAGGTGCTATCAAGAGAACCCGACATGGGGTGGAACAAATCATAGACAAGACTCTGGGTAAGAGACAAACAGGAGGAAAGGCATACAAATGTAATCCCATCCGTATTGACTGACAGTATCTATGTGGAACTGAAGACTAGAACAACTGTAGCTGAGCATTCCAATCAGCTGCAAAGGCATTGATCATTGGAAATACAAACTGAGAACAAATCCATTGAAAGACCTCCTGATGTAACATCCATTCTGTTGGAAGAATCAGATGGGGTCAAGAAAGATGATCTGCTATCAAATTCATAAACTCTGGCACATGACAGGCCAAAAGATGGATGTCATGGGAATGAGC